TAAGGAGACAACATATGATAATTTTTCAATTATCCCACCTACAACCAGGTGCAGGAAGCATAGAACAATATATGACAAGATGATATTCAATATATGCATCACATATGTTTGTGTAAGCATCCAGCAAAGAATGCCAAAAAGATATACAGTGCAATAATAATGGTTTAATTACTATTGATACAACATCTATTTTAGAACATGTATATGTATTGATTTATATATGATCATTTACTGCAATCCTGCTTTTAACTGTACATAATATATTATCTATATATACCTATATGACATGTATATTTAGTCCCACAAATTGAAATATATATTTGTAGGATGTTGCAAAGAATAATTAATTAATATATTTTTAGAATAAAATTTTATTTTAAATCATGGCCTTGCCTTGAAGAAATTTACTGTGAAAATCTATCTCTTTCATTTTGTAGAATTTTTATGAATGGAAATATTTCTTATAAAAATCTTTCTATCTTGCCTTACTGTTTTTATTTTAACCCCTACATTCTGATATATATTGTTGTGATGGATTACATAATAGTTGTCAGCAACAAATACTGGGTTGTACTGGTATCTCACAAATTGATTGAAAATTAGAACTTATAAAATTTATAAATTTTAACCTCAATGGAATCAGAGATCAGAACAAAAAGTCAGTTGAAAATCTCATTACCGTTTTTTTATAAAATGGTTTGACTGAATAGGAAAATTATTATAGCCATTGTATATGTGAAGATAAGCATCCATAACTCTTTTTGGTGGATAGCAAATATTTATTAAGCTTACATACTAAAAACAAAGAAAAATTACTGAACTGTTATGTGATATCTACTCTTCATATGGCAGAATGCTGGACAATCTCCTCAAAGATGAAGAAGAGACTGAAGCAATAGAAATATGATTTGTACAGAAAGATGCTGAGGATACCATGAACTGAATATGAGAATGACAAAAGTTTTAGAGAAATGGAAACAAAAAGAAACTTATCAGGAAGAGAGAATTGAAATTTCTAGGGGCTCCATAATGAGGAAAGAGGGTTTGAAAATCTGATACTCATAGGACAGATTAAGACAAGAGGGACAGAGAAATACAATGTACAACATACTTAATGAGATTGAGTAAATGGTTGGTGGAACAAGGTTTAGGAGAACAAAAAGACAAAATTTATTTAGAGCTAAAGGACAGGAAATTGTGGAGATCCATGATTGTCTATGTTCGAGGAACACGCACATAAAGTTTACTTTGACACAGGACAATGACAGTAGAATCCTAAATGAGGCTCTCCTCTACTCAAGTTAGTCTTCTATAAGCCTAAATTGTTATTACTCTATCCAGGCACTCAATCAAAAGTAATGAAATATAATTTGTGGCACTAGAATCAGTTTATCTGTAGCATACAAAAAGTACATAGATCCTTGATATGCATCATGTTGATAAATAGACAATAAATGTATTAATAATTGTTGTTACTAATGAATATAAAAATAAATTTTCCTGATAATGGTGTAAGGATTTTTAGGTTGTCTTCTCTTTTAGCAGTAACCTTGTACACACTAAAAAATGGTCTGTTGCATCATACCAGTATCCTTGGTAGATTGTAGAAAATTTGATTGACATCACTGGGTCATAAGGGAGACGACCTTCTCTTCTTGTCATTTTCCTTACCTCAGAGATACTGTCCCTCACAGCTATCAGGGAAAATGAAACAACATTTTCATAGTATATATGGGAAATATTGCAAACAAAAAAAGCTTTCACCTCTACTTTTTCTCTCCCTGATTTATGATGGTGTATCTGCCACCATCACCATTGTATGTTTTCACACACATGCACACACCATTGTCATCAGCTATCACTCTTAATTCAACTTTTTAATGAAATACTTGTTGTCATGATTGTTGGGATTGATACACAAGTCCACTCATTCATTCTGCTTTCTGTCATAGCAGCCTATTTTGGAACCTATCAATTAAAAGTTGATTGGCCTTGTTATTTTGTGGGGAGGTGATACCTATTTCACATGTTGGTGTGAAAGAACTGGGCTCAAGTTCAAATGATCCCAATAGCAATAGATATTTGCAAAAACACATATTCTTCATGTCCTTCAGCAAAATTTATTATCAACCACATTTATATAATGTTGGTGTATGACATAAATATGTTTATCTTTGGATAAAATAGGAAACATTTTAAATGTACTATATTAAAAGAAGAATCTCTGAATAGGAGTTATCGTTATTTACACTATTTATATTCAGACTAGTGTCACTCATCTTTTGTTACTATCACAGCATTTCAGCCATTGTGCCCTCTGGCCTTCCTGAGGTATCTATTGATTTGTGTAATTCCATGAGACTTTGAACCTTTTATTTAATCTATGGGGTAGACTGTTTCTTGCTGCACTACCTGGAACTAGATGATATCACTAGACATGAGCAGTGAACAAGAACAATGTAATACTTACAGATTAAATGAAGTATTCAGTTCAAAAATTCTGTAGGTTACCCAGATTGACATACACCTGAGGAGGGTACAACAGCTAAAACGCTGTGATAGCAGCAACAAAGATGGGGGGCAATAGTTTCAATATAAATAGCCCAAATAAAAGAAAAATCCTTAAAAACCATGAAAAATTAAAATTTTCCTCTCAAAATTCAAATTAAAAAGATACAAAAAAAGAAGTAATAATTTTTTTTTCAATTGAATTTGACACAGTTTAATGTTTGTTAACAGAAACAGTTTCTGTTCATTAATTGATTGAAATAAATTGAGAAATAATTTCAGGAAATTTTATAATTATTTTTCCTAGTTTAAAGAAAAGTATAAATTTTGATTTCTAGTCTTAATCTCAGTCTCTTCAAACAGTCAGAATGTTTATCCCAAAACTTTGCAGTGACAAACTATTATTGAAATATCTTTTAGAATGATCTAAACTCAGTCAAAATTCTTTTACACAAGCTCCAAGAATAAGAAATTTGCTTTATCATAAAATAATAAAATTATTTTTTTATTCTTTTCATTTTTGTTCATTTTCATCTCAGTTAAAAAATTCGCAAATCTGCATGCCAAAGAATCATTTTGAATTTCAAAATTAATCTTTTGATATTGATATGAATTATTTTGAGCAACTAAAATTAATAAAGAAAAGAAAAGGTTTATTAAACATTAAAACAAGAGTGAAAGATTAATCAGATGCAGCACATGACAAAGATGGCTGGAGAACATATCAGCCAAATATTACATTAAAATAACAAGGATCAAGATCAACTGATTTTTAAATGTTTTCATATGAATGAACTATAAGAATCAATACCTTTGTGTTTTCAATATTTGTGCATGGAGGTGGGTATTAGCAAGAGTTTAGACCTGAAGTTTCCACCAGAAAATGTCCAATCTTTTTATAATATTTGAAGAAGTGAACAAAATGGATGATGTTGAAAAATAAATATTTGTTATACCATGCCTTTTCACTATTAGGCTAAGAGATTTATTGATGTGCTTACACACATCCTGCAAAATTTTTTAAAAGATTTCATGATTATTTTAGAATTTAAAATATAAAGAGAAAATTTAAAAATTCAACAGTCTACTATAGTTTACTTTGTAAAAACCACTTTATTTGCCCATCATAGTTTGATATCCACATATTTGTTATTCTTCCTAATGAACAATAAATTTTATTGACTGATTATTACATTTACTAAGAAGAAACAATAGATTTACTGACTTGTACATATTTAATAATTAAGACTATTAGAAGGCCAAATTGCAAGGAAATGAGATTATACTGCACCAATCATCCACATGGAAAGAATTTGCCTTCTTTGAGAATCAGCATTTGATATCTTAGCTTTTAGCCTGACTTCAAATACCAAACAATGGCATCACAATTATTTGTAACATTATTGGTTTGCAATTACTAATGAAAACACATGATTGAATCTCATTTATAACATTACTATTTATTTTACTCTGAATTTGTCAATCACCATTGACCAATGGGTGTGACTTTCTCTAACCTATGACTTACATTTTCATGTGGATATCAGAGACTCACCTTGAAGCAGATGCCTATATATTTACGTGTCATCAGTTACCCCACATCACACCACCCCCCACCCCAGTTATATGCATAAATCTATGTTCATTGAGTTGTTCATGTGTTCACATGTCAGGGCAGAGAATGACATTGAGTGACTCATAGAACTTCCTTCCTGGCTAGGGGGTTATCCTGTACCTGGCGTGACATTGAGTGCAAGTCTATTTTAGCATCATCTAAGTTGAACTATATTCTATATATCTCAGTCATATATGTGTTTAAACCAAAAAAAGCAGTATTACTTTTTATTGTTATTTTGTTTTTAGAAAAGCAAGTTTATTGCTTTGTTTGTTCTTTTTTTGTATGAAAGTTACAAGAAGACTTGCATGTACCTGGCATTAATTTAGGTTGAGTAGCAAAAAAGCCTTTTCTGCTTTGTCTTTTAATTTCATGACATTCTTTTTGAGTATTTGTAGCCTCTGCGTGTGTATCAAATCAGCAATAGTAAGATTGATCTGACAGGGAATTATTATTTACTCTCATCTTACGTTGTAATACGTTACCATCCACTAATAGTTTCAGGGGTAAGTGAGCAGCAGTCTTGTGGATTCTGAAGTAATTAATATTCATAAGTTTCTGTCACTAATTAATATTCATAAGTTTCTGTCAGCTGATTACCATGATTCTCAAATGTTGATAGGTTGTTGGCAGGCAAGGAACATTCATGATTACAGTTGATTTTCTGGCACAAAAGATGATATTCTTTTTACCTAATTATCTCTTTTCTTCTTCTCTCTCTCTCTCTATATATATATATATATATAGAGAGATATATATATATATATATATATTAGAAAATGAGAAAAAAATCTATAGATACTGATCTTTTCTAATTTTCTTTTTGCTCTTATTGACAATAAGTTTATTTCTTTCTCCACTAGCTTTTTCTTTTCAGTTATCTCTTCTTGTTCTATACTTTCCTCTTTCTTTTCTGTAAACTGCTTCTCTCTACTCTCTCTTTCTCTAATACCAAGCTTTTTGGTTTCATTTGGAGTTTATCTATCTTCCATTGATTTTTTTTATCTCTTTTCTCTTTGCTTTTATTTCATTCTCTTTTCTAAACTTTTTATTCTTTCTGGAACATTGTCTCTTCTGTTTATTTCTCTTTATTTATCCTTATCTTTTTTTCTCTTTAGTTTTTTCCATTTAAAGTTTCTTTTTCATTTTCTCTACATCAATATTTTCTACCTTTCTTTATATTTTATATCATTGTATTTTTTACCTGTCAGCATTTAACTCTTTTATTGAATTATTTCTGTTGTCGTTATCTCATTCTCTCCATACAATCCTTTTGTATATATATATATATATACACACACACACATATATATATATATATATATATATATATATAATCTATGGATGTTCTTTCTATTCACTTTTATACATTCACATTTTTTCTCTATAGACCATATACTGTATAAATGAATGAAATCAGATTTTTGATATTTGCTGGTACAGCTCAATAATAGCTCTAAAAATTTACATATCAACAAATGTTAGCTATCATTAGTTCAACTAATTTAGGAAAATGAAAATATGGGTTTCAGGTTAAATTAAGTCTTTGCAAAGACAACACTATATTTATGATTATTCAGTATCTACAAATAGAAAATGTATTTCCTGTTTGTGTCTTTGTATGTGAGCTCTATTTTTTTTAATATAACATTGCAGGAGATAATAAAAAAGCCTGGAATGTTAAGACACTCTCAATTCTTTACAAAACAAATCAACAGTTAAATCTTTTATTAAAAAACAAAATATTTTGATGCTTAAATAAGCGCATAAAGTTACAATCACTGATGTCTTTGATAAATTCTGCAGTGGAACTTAAATTACTTTGGAATTGTATTTTGAGGCATCATTTCTATGCAATGACATACATATGTGTAACTAGACTCTCAAAACATGTTTACAGCATACAGTTGGGGAGTTTTACCACAAGGTTAACAAGCTAGTCTTGCAGTCCATTATTGTTACTCACTGGATGCTATATATTTGTGATCTTATAGTTTAGGGGTGTGGTAGAAACTGAAATTAATAAATCAACTTCAAGCTTTGACCAAAACTTTTTGTGTTTATTTTGCACAAATGTTCTTGGGAAAAGACATAATCTCACTCATCTCAACACTTTGTCCATCAAGTTAGGGACTTCCTTACAGTTGCTACCATGTATTTGAGTAATAAATGTTATTTGATAATTTAAGAGAAGATAAGGACACCTAAATAGCTTTTTAGATAGCATGAAAATATATTTTAAATATCTCAAAAATCTACAAAGTTATAGGACAAACCAAAATTGAATTATCAAGAAATAAAATACTTGCAGTTAATAAGTGTTTGATAAATGTAATTAACTATAAGTGAAAAAATTAGTATTTGTGGATATGATTTAGTTCTTTTGCCACACACAGACATATTATCTATATATATCAGGGTAAAATAAACAAACAAGAAAATAGTTATTAGTTGAATTTTAATCTCAGGTTTATTATACACTGTTCAACCTATATGGTTGGTATTTACTGCTTGTATTGACAAACAAGGAATTTAAGTTGAGGAATAAATGTTATGTTATATGTAAAATATATAATGCTTTATACATCATTAGGCTAGAGCAAATATATATATATATATATATATATATATATATATATATATATATATATATATATTAGTACACACTCACATAGAGTGGAGTGCTGAAAAATTTCCCAAAATGGGTTAATAAGATGTTTTAACACCCACTTATATATAAAAATTGGATGCAAATATTCAAATATATATATATATATATATATATATATATATATATATATATATATATATATATATATATATATTAAAGAGAGAGACAAGGTTATGTGGATTTTTAAATATATATTATACATTATTTTCATATTTTTTTACACGCATTTACAGTCTTGTGACCTTCATCAGGCAAAGAGTTGTTATTTCCACATATTATTAAAAGGTATTAATTTTCCTTGTTTTCCAATGTTTGACCATTGTCTTTTGTGTGTAGTAGTAATCCAAATTTTTCTTGGACTTGTGGAAAAAATATTCTTCTGTTTAAGGAGTAATAAAATGATATGTCCCAGAAACGGATATATTTGTTTGAAGTAGCAAAGTGGATTTGGACTACTGTAACCGAGTAAGGACAATCTAGCAGGTAACCGTAATGGACTGGTCCTCGTCGAAGTAGTAGACAATAGGCATAGCCAATAGGTGAAGTCTTGTATCTCCACATCAGTCTGTATTTATGGCTGACACCAGCCAATCATATTACTGTGAGGGGGAACCCAGGTGTATGCATATTTATTACACCACCTCCCCCCAAGCTAAATTTTCCCGTGAAATTTAGCTTCAATATTTTCTCTTTTTAGGGTCTGTACTTAATCGATTGATTTTTTTCCTAAGTCTTTTTCGCCTCAATCATCCTTGCCATTGGTGGCGTTTGACACACTGGTATCTCTGGCCTTGAGGTCGGGGATACCTCCATTGGCGAATGTTGACTTACTGGAACGGGAATTTGAAATGTGTCATACAAGACTTCCATTGGAATCTCTTCGGTATTTTCCGCGACCTCTGTATTGTGTCTGGGTCTCAAGTGATTCCAATGTCTTTTGCACTGAAATTTTTCCCCTTTTATGTCATATATGACCTGTCCAATTCTTTTGGTTATCATTCCTTCTTCCCAATACGTTTTTCGAGCCCTAAAGTTCTTGAAAAAACTTTGTCACCTGGCTTATACGCTTTAGACATCTGGTTTTCTTTTTTAGCAGTTTTCTTCGCCGGACAAGGCAACAGCCTGTCAAACACAGAGCGTATTTTTCTCACAAACATTAACTCTGTTGGCGATAACCCTGACGTCGTATTCGGGTTTGGTGTGATTCTATATACTGCCAAAAATTTCTGGATACTTCTTTCATTCGTGTCCACGCCTTGGTTTTTCTTCAACGCTCGTTTAAAGGTGTCCACGAATTTTTCTGACTGTCCATTCGATCTTGGATGATATACTGGCGTTGTCACGTGATCAATGGACAATGATGTACAGAATTCCTTGAATTCTCTTCCTGTAAACTGCGTTCCGTTGTCGTTGACTAAAGTTTTATGGAGTTCAAAGCAACTAAAAATTTCATTAAGTGCGTTTATTGTATTTGTTGCAGTCGGATGTCTGCACTTAACAATTTCTGGCCACTTAATGATACTGTCCACAATGATCAGGTAATAAGATCCATTTATCGGCCCTGCATAGTCGATATGCAATTGAGTCCATGGGACATCTGTCTTTGGCCATGTTCGAATCTTTACCGGTGGATCCCTTGCTGCCAGTTGACATCTTCTGCACTGTTTCACCCAATTTTCTGTCTTGGTCCATCCTCGGCCAATACGTATAGCCTTTCATTAGAGATTTCATTCTCGAAATCCCTGGATGGCCAGTGTGAAATTCTTTCAGAATTTTCTTTTCTAGAGTAACCGGCATTACAACTCTATCTGCGTATAGTAATACCTGTTCGCAAATTGAAAAAGGTGACACACTAATTCCTTTTTTAGTTGTCTCGTTCAACCAGACTTGCTTTTTCATTTTTTTAATGAAATCATCGTTCACCGCTGCTTTTTTCACATCTTCTAGCGTAACCGGTAGTTCTCTAATAGTGTTGCATAACAGACCCGACAATTCACTTTCGTCTCTTAGCGCCGACCAAGCTTCTTTGAAGGCACATATTCTATTTTGAAATTATAATTCAATAGAATTACACCCCAACGCTGTAGTCGATTTGCCGTGTGAGTTGGTATACCTTTTTTTGAACCAAATACTGTTAACAGCGGTTTGTGGTCTGTTTGCAGAATAAATTCTCTTCCGTATAGAAACCTGTGAAATTTTTTTACAGCGTAGATTATTGCTAAACTCTCTTTTTCGATTTGACTGTAGCTTCGTTTTGCGGGCAGTAATGTTCTCGAGGCATGTGCTATTGGCTTCGTAGATCCGTCCTAGAATTTATGAAGCAATTTATGAAGCAGTCTCATTACTGGCATCTGCTGCTACAATGATTTTCCTCTTCGGGTCGAAATACTCTAACTGTAGGTCTTCTAATAGACAGCTTTTTTATTTTTTTAAAAGCCTCTTCGCATTCTTTCGACCATATCCACTTTGCGCCCTTCTTCACCAAATTATTTAAAGGAGCTCTCATATACATTTTTGGAATATAAATGATATAGTAACTTACTAATCCCAAGAAGGCCTAGAGTTTTGCCACATTATCAGGTGCTGGCATATTTTTTATAGCCTCAGCCCTTTCTGGATCCGGTTTTCTTCTTTTACTGTCAATGATCTGCCCTAAATATTTCATCTTTTTTAAGAAGAACTAGCATTTTTTCAGCACTCAACTTGAACCCGTATTCCTCAATTCTCTGAAATACTGCTCTAATATGCATTTTGTGTTGGGCCTCGTTTTCACTTTTAATCAAAATATCATCTAAATATGCGATTGCATACTCCATACCAGCCAACATTGTGTCCATCATTTGCTGGAATAGGCTTGGAGCTACCTTCAATGCAAAAAGAAGACGATTCAGTTTAAAAATCCCTTTATGCGTGTTTATTGTACGGTACTTCGAACATTCTTCACTGACTTTAACCTGAAGGTAAGCCTCCGACAAGTCCAACTTTGAAAACACTCTACCTCCGTTTAATTTAGTGAATATATTCTCCGGAGACGGTAGAGGGTACGCATGGTCTTTCACGCAATCATTTAAGCATGTCGAAAAATCAGCACACACTCTGATTTTTCGGTTTTTCTTTTTTATATATACGGTTGGAGACACCCAATCTGAGTAATCGACTTTTGAAATTACGCCAATTTTCTTCAACCTTTCTAATTCCTTATTTATTGTGTCTAATGCCGAAAATGGCGCCCTTCTCTTTGGTTTAAAGATTGGTTTAACATTTTCTTTCAATTCGAAGCAAGCTGACTTCTGTTTTTGTGCACAGACCTAGTCCTTCTGAAAAGACGCGAAGGTATTCGCCTTTCAACTCCGTAATAAATCTTTCTGTTTGCTTCGTCTTATAGTTCTCTATGATGTTAACTTTGAAAGAATTTACCGGTAATTCCCATAAATTAAACAATACAATCCAGTCTAAACCAAATAGGTTTACTGAATCAGGGAACACATGCACTTTCGATTTGTGAATTTTCCCATGATCGAAATGTTACATTTTAATTCACCTCTAA